CACACAATAATAATTATTATTATAATAATTATTAAAATTATAATAATAAATAAGGTGGATAGTAACAGTGGAAGACATTCAGTGTTGACCTTCGGCCTTCACAGACATGTTCACACACATATGTGCATACATATATACCATACACACAGATAAAAGAATTAAGGAAACAGCAAGATGGCTCCATGGGTGAAGGTGCTCACCATGCACACCTCCTGGTGATCTGAGTTTGAGCCCCAGAACCCAAGTAAAGCTGGAAGGAAAGAACTGACGCCACAAAGTTATTCTCTGACCTCCGTATGTGCACCATGGCTGTATACCTGCTCCTGAAATTAAAAAAAAAATTTTTTTTAAAGTAAACTTTGGGTCAGATTGCTGAACTTTGCTATCTCATCTCTCACAAAGTATAACAAGAGACATCTCACTGTCAGCTTTTTATGATGTCCTGTTCCAGATCCCCAACAAGGTACCAGAAAGTATCCAGTCACTGTCCTAAATCTGCAGTCACTGGTGGAGCCTTGAAAACATATCAGTCCATGAGGCGATTACCCCCATGTAGAAGCGATCATCTCACAAAAAGATCATCTCTCAAGCAATGAGGACATCTTGGACCACTTTACAGAACCTGAATGAGACAATAATTGATCCCCAGACCAAGACTGGTTAATTCTGTATAGCTCCTGCCTGCTGTCCCAATTCTTTAATTCATTCATGTCTAAAGCTCATGTCAGAGATAGACTTGGGAGTTTATCTGTACTTCCCAATGTTGATCTCTCTCTCTCTCTCTCTCTCTCTCTCTCTCTCTCTCCCTCTCTCTCTCTCTCTCTCCACACACACACAGGGTCTTGAACTCCTGATCCTCCTGCTCCTGTCTGCTAGGATTACAAGAGTCTGCCACTGTGCCCAGTTTGCTTATCTCTTTAAGTGTCTAATTGGGATGGGCAGCCCAGCCTAGTCTGTTGGGACTACCAGAATTGTGGGGGTTTTGCCTTATAAATTCTGGTAATTCCACCATCTGCTGTCCCCAGGGGCAGATCTGTGAGTGGAGGCAGGGGCTGTCCTCAGCACTGACTGCTAGCTGGCCCCATTTTCCAAGCCAGCTCTCCTCACCCAGTGGCTTGTTTCTCTCTAACCCTCAGCTCAACCTTTCTGTGTTACCCTGTAAAACGTGCCTTGGTGTCTGGAGTGGGGGATCATGCCCCTGGCTGTGGCTCAGACCTCTGGCTTTTGACCTCTGCTGTAGTACCCCATCCCCCATGTCTCAGATGTGACAGGTGCTTTGTGGCTCAGGAAGATGGGCACAGACAACATCCTGATTTCTTGCTTTATGGTAAAATGGATGCTCTGGTAGCCCTCCTCCACCTCCTGGGGGTTCCTAAGCACCCAACCCTGTGAACCTACCCTGGAAATTGAACAGCATAGCAGGGAGGGCTGTGGGCTGGCATCCTCTTTCCTCCACTCTTC